GGCCATCCTTCGAGCCCTCTGATTTCTGCCCTGGGCACAAGAGCGGCATAGAACATGTATCATTTCAATCTTGTGAAGCTATTTCCCTGCTCTTGGAACCAGGCAGTAATTTAATCAGCAAACATTTCCACCCACAAGAGTGAGGCTGGACTTGAAGCATCTTTTCTGCTCAGCTCCTCACCTGCCTCATTACTAACCATTAATTTACTCACCAGGCTTCTGACTTACTAAACAGCTAATGTACTTTAGCTGTCCAGGTTGTGTTCCTTAAATGGTGACATGCTGTACCACCGCCGAGGATTGGGTTCCTTCCACCTGATAGCAGCAGCGCAGTTACCCACTCAGCTCTAAATCTGCTAGCCACGCTGAAAAGGCAGAGAGCTCCCACCTGCCCGGCTGAGTGTGTTCTCTAGTGACTGACAGCCCAGTGCTCAAAGCCATAATGAACAGTTCAGACTGTTAGTGGAGGAGACAGCTGGAGTCAAAGTCAATGCAACCCTGACTGACACTTGCCAGGGGGTGGGGCGGGGAGGAAAATGAATCTTTCTTAAGGTTGGGGGCTTCCCGGCTTTGGTAGTTATCTGTGATTGTCCTAGGGACAAAAGCAGGTGGTTACACTTTTTTTAAAAATAATCTGATGTTTTAGTATTTTTCTTGAAGAAAAAAAAATCAACAAGCACATGCAATGGAGATGTCCAAATTAAATCCACCCGCCGTGATTCCTGGCCTCAAGACAAAGCCATGCAAACATGCAAGTCAATTGGCTTTATGTTTCTGTTAGCTGTAATTTACCAACGAATTATTACACTAGGGTTGCCTTTACAGAGGTGCTGCACCCTCTGGCTTGAAGTGGGTTTCATCATATCCTAGGTTTACGGTTTGGTTCAATGGCTCTCAGCACCCCTGTGCCTTTATCTGACCAATTTTGTGCCAGCCTCCCCATTGTCTGGAGAAACACCTTCTGGTAGCTGGTCCTAGGTATCCCCCTTAGAACTCGTCTCTCTCCTATTCCCCCCCCACCACCACCACCACACACACACAGGAGGTACCCACTGCATCTGGTCATGACTCATTCATGTGCCCAGAGCACTACTTGAGCAGAGCTGTTAACTAGTGAATATTAACTCTGGCTGCTCGAAACAAAATTCTGACCATGATTTTTTCTCCCCCATTAGCCTCTTTTCACTGTAAATCTAAACGGACCTGTCTAGTCTATAACCTGTTTTCCGTGGGAAATCTATTCACTATTTATTAGTTTATACAGCCGGGTGGAAAACAAAGTTAATTGGAGAAATTTGAGTCCTGCTACTAGCAAGGCTGGGTCGGCTGTTTAAAACGGAAAGTTGCCTACAGAAAAGCAGGCTGCAAACAAAGCAAGTGTCTGGTTTCATAATTAATAATGAATGCTAAAGGCCAGGGAAGGGTTTTATCCACTGAAATATACCCGGGGTGCTACGTCACCGAAGGAGCTTTACCTAGTGAATTGTGTCCAAAATGGAAGCGCCTCCTTGCAAAACAAGCCCTCTCCTGCTTGGACCTGCAAAAAGCCACGTGCCTCGGGGACGGGGCTCGCTGGGAAGCGTTTTGCATCGGCCAATACAGATCAGTCAAACCCCAAACTTCGCGGGAAAGGATCCGTTTTCATTCCCCATTTTAAAAACCTGAACACCCCGGTGTGACCCTTCCGCACCAACCAACCAACCAATCAGGGTCAGCTCTTCAGATCAGGGGGACATTGTCAATTGATAGTAATAAACATAAAAGAAATGACAAATTCTGAAACCCACCTTTGAACAGCTGGAAGAGAAGCTAAACGGGTTGCCATTGGAAGGCCCCGTTTTGACGAACCGGCTCTGATTCGATTTCATTCTCCGCACAGGAACATTTTCAAGATTTCGTTTTTTCTTCACGATTTGGGAAAAAATAAACGGCACTTTCCTAGAGCTAGTGGGATTCCTGGGGCATCATACATGACAAATGCCGAGAAGTCCCCCACTGGCCCCTTTCTCTTTAAAAAAACCTTTCCTGTTTGGTTGTTTGGTTTGGTTGTTCGGCGAGGAAAAGCAACATCCGCAGGAAAATGCCCTTTGCCCATTGGCCTTTTGGGGAACAAACTATTAATTGTAACTAGATTTGAGCACAGCAGGGAGAGCTTTCGCTAGAATATACCCTGCCGCCTGGAACTAAACCCAGGGCCCAGCGCTGTGCCAGCCGCGGTCTCATTCCTTGGGGCAGGTCTGGCGTTTGTCTACACAGAGCAGACCTGGCTGGGTGGGGGGCTTTTCCCAGGACAGTGTCCCTCTCTCTCGCTCAGGGACTGGCGCCCCCGTCGTTTGATCCCTGAGAACAAATTTATCCACCCTCTTGGCCTTCCTGACTGTGGGCAACTTCTGTGCAATGAAACCGGGGCAGCCTAGCAGAGCCGCTCCCTTAGCCAAGGTGAATTCAGTTCGATCCCTCTCTCCTTTCTATTTCATTAGCTCTCCCCGCTAATTAAAGCGGAACACTGGGGGGGGGGGGATTTGCTGTGGCTGACAGGGCTCAGTGGGTGGGTTACAGCAACAGGGAAACGGGCTGCTTTGTCCCTGAAGATGAACTCGGTGGCTTTTTATCATGGATTTTCGCGACCCGTTGGATAGTCGGAACCTTTCCGCGAATATAGAGAGACGGACTCTGTAACCAGCGCCGGTTATTGCGCAGCTGGGGAGCGGGCTGTGGTCTCCTGCAAAGCTCCTTTGCTCCTTGCAGCTGCCCAGCAGATCTCAAGCCCTCACCCAGCTCCCGACCTGATGCTTTCATCCCCCCCACCCCCCGGGACACGAAGGAGAAACGAGATTCCTCGCGCGGGGGACATCGCAGCGTGGTTCAGCCTCGCGGACATACTTCGTGGGGGGAGTCTGTGGTGTTGGCCCCTCTCTTGTCCCCGGGTGTGACTTTGGAAAAGCAACGCGAACATATGTGCTTGCAGGCTGCCTGCCTTAAGCCGCTGTTATTAATTTGTAATCCTCTCAAAGCAGGAGGTAAAGGGATTCATTCAGATTAACCGGCTCACAGTAACAACCATAATTATCAGCCCCTGGTGCTGGGGGGGAACACAATCACACACACACACCCCTTGTGTTTGGGTTAAACACGACGGTCCAAACGGAGAGGTGTGAAACACACCACGCCACGTGCCTGGGACCCGAGGGGAGATTCCCGAACAGAAGAGCACGGGGTTGGTGTGTGTATGTGTGTGTGTGGGGGGT